AAGACATCATGCTGTGGGGAATTTTCCAGTTTTGTTTTTAACAAAGGTTTAGGGGATTTGGGTCTCGGAAAAAGAAGTTGGGGGCATATGGAGCCCATGGCTGCATTTTGACTATCCTTATCCTAACTGCCTTTCAACCACCACAGAAAAATGGTCAAATACATTGGTTTTGTTTGCTGTCTTCTTCCTTCTCTGGTCAAGTAAAACTTTTCCTACTCTTTCTTCTGGTCTCTGCTGTCAGACTATTCTTACCACTCAAATTCTCAAGCTTGGTTTGTGTGTGCTTTTATTTTCTCATTCTAACACATCCTTTCCTCTTCCCTCCCTCTGCACAGTGCAACTTCTTCAAGCGAACCCGCTACTATCGAATCATGCCCAAATACCACGCCATTAGGATCCGTCAGGAGGAGCGTTACCAGCCGGCTGGTGGGTTCCTGCCTCGGAAGCACAAGAAACAGTGGGTGACAAACTGGCAAGAGACGGGGCGATACTACTGATGCCTGTTCCCCCCCCCCATCCTTCGTGGCACTCATGGGCTTCTTGGATTTCTTTTGTAAATAGCACTGGACCAACAGAGGAACTGTTATTTAAACTAAGTTATATGACCTAGATCAGTGATGGTGACCCAAAGCTTTCTTCAGACCCAGTAGGCAGAAAAATAACCTTTCCAAGGTGGACCTGCTAGGCATTTGTGGAGTATGAGGCACAAAGGGGAAGCCATTTTATCTGCACTGATGGATTTCTTTTTAACCACCGCCTGCCACCAGGGTTTTGAGAATTACATATCTTTGTGAAAAGGAGGCAGGTATGAAAATCAGCGTAGCTTTGCACTGAAAGTATATATGCAAACACAACAGTGCCTAGGCACCACACAAACACAAAGACATTCTTCTTTTTGGCTTGCAGCTTCTTGGATACTATTATGATTTCATGAGATTATTTTTATAATTATTATTTATTACATCGATGCCCCCTTTTTCTTCTAGAGAGCTCAGAGCAATTCCCCAACAGCAGCTTACAAAACCAAACCTGCTTAGCAGTAGAACTGTGTCATGTGCCTTCAAACCATTCTCTGGACTTTCACAAGATTTTTGCTGCTCATGTCAACTCTTATGAAAGCTAATGCCAACATGTAGCAACAGAGGAGCTAACCTACTGAATCAGACCATTGGTCCATTTAGCTTGTATTTTCTCAACTGACTGGCAGCAGCTTTCCAGGATTTCTGGCAAGAGGTTGCCTTTCTCAGACCTATCTAGTGATGCTGGGCATTGAACCTGGGTGCACAGAAGGCATATGCTCTACAACTGAGCTATGACTTCCCCCTGTACTTATCCCCACTCCTTCATTATAACAGTCCCATGAAGCCACTATAACATGCCCACTTGTGTCAACCATGTTTTCTTGCAGCAATTGAGGTTTTGCTGGCTCTCACATGCACCGAGCTGTGCAAAATTAAGCCAATTTTGCCTGTTAGATGCTTGTGCAAGACCTCACTTGTATGCGAACACTTGTCCCTGTGCAAGGGTAGTTGTGCATACCATTTGTGTAAGGTCACTTGCTAATGCAGATGTATGCATGCAAAGCTGTTTTACTTTTCTCAGACAGCCTTCTTTCTAATACACAGTCCCCCTGTTTTTGGTTTTATGTTTTCTCTGTTCAGCTATTAATTTCTACATTCTTCCCTTTGCCTTAACCCCTGGTCTCACCCCCATCACCACCCCTGATTTTTACAAACTACTAAGCACCAATCTCCTGGATGGGGAAAAACCCATTGTTTTGACTGTAATTGCCCCTTTCCCCAACCTCATACTGCTATAGTTAACACTGGATTTATTGTCACTGGAGCGTCTGCTCTGCTCAGAACTACTGATACTTTTTCATCACTGTTTCTGAAACTTCCTCCACATTTGTTGGAGGGAGGGAGTAGTTTTGTCACTACTGTATTCCTGCTACTGAAGGAGCACCAAGAAGTCTTCTAAGCTTGAAAAGTAAGAAGGGGGCAGCATTTAAAAAGAAAGAAAGAAAGCAGAAATCCCTTCCTATCATATATGAAATAATGTTGCACCATCTCTTGCTATACTTTGAGGGATGCTGGAGACTATGTTGAAATGGAGTCCAGGGATCATGTAACCATTCTCCACATGTTTGCTTTCCTATTCCTTCCCTCAGTTTAGCTGTAATCATCACAGTGGCTTGTTAGTAGAGGAATAGATTACCCCAGCAACATTATATTGCTATGAACTATCCCTATTGCAATCCAAAGTACCGGTATGTGGTGATTTGGTCTTGAAGGGGCATCTCAGGCCCAATAGCTTTACAAAAAACTTGGGAAATGGTAACTACTAGAATTGGTTTGTTGATATATATCAATAGAGCTGCCTAGATATTTAAAATCTCCTGGCTGGTGGGGTGTGGGTAGTAGTGTGAGGATAGCTGCACAAAATTCACCATTCATTTCAACTTTGAAGGTGTCCTGTGAAATGTAGATTAGGTTGGGTGCTCTCATCCACTGATGGGATCTTGGTGGCAACAGTGTTCTAAAAATAATGAACAAATGAATCTAGCCATTATTTTAATTTCTTGTGATGCCCCAGATCAGTACTAGGTCAGGAGGTGTTGAAATAGCAGCTAGAGCTAGGTTGAAATAGTCAGCTAGAGGGCTGCTCTAAATACCAGAGCAATTTTTTTTTAAAGAACACCCTGTGTAGACATCAACATGGAACGCATTGGGGCACTGAGCTCCTGGCATTGGCTTAAGGATGCCAAGTGATAGTAATGCTGCCATCAGCTCTTTGGTTAAAGGTTCAAGAGTTTAAAGTTAGGGGATAAAATTGGCTCAAGTGGTTAAGATGCTGACTCTGTTGATTGCAAGATCAGCAGGTTGGCAGTTTGAGGCCCAGGTGCCGTGTGATGGTGTGAGCTCCATCATTAGTCTCAGCTGCTGTCAAACTAGCAGTTTGAAAGCATTCAAGTGCAAGTAGATAAATAGGTACCACTTCGGTGGGAAGGTAAATAGCATTCCGTACTATCATGCTGGCCACATGATCATGGAGTAGTCTCTGACAATGCTGGCACTTTGGCTTAATAATAGAGATGAGCACCATCCCCTACAGTCGGACACAACTTGACAACCTTGTCAATGGGGAATACCTTTACTTTTACCTATGCTATGAGTTAGCTGCTGGAGAATGCCTAAATGCCCTAAAAGCACCAAATCCTATCTGGAGGGTCAGCCCTGGGTAGTACTTGGGATGGGAGACCACCAATGAATTCCAAGTGCTGTAGGCTATATTTCAGAGGAAGGAACTGGCAAAAACCACCTCTGAAATTCATGTGGCTGCCATAAGTCGACTTGAAGGTGCTTACACACACACACAGAGAGAGAGAGAGACCAGCCCCGAAATATGTTTCTGGGGTCAGTTCTCCTCAGTGGAACACGTGACTTTAAAGATAAGTGGGTATGAGAATATGCTCGTCTCCCAACTAAGCCATAGCAGCCATCTCCCACATGCATGGGAATGGATTAGGGTGGGTGAGTTTTCTGGTTACAGAGAGTGCAGGGAGGCTTAAGGCCCGACAGCTCTCATTTTAGAAATTAAGAAGTGCCTGTGAAAAAAGGGAAGGGATAGCAGTAGAAGCCAAATGGATAGCCAAGAAAGAGAAGGTATGCCTCCCTCAACCCCTGCCCCCTTTTTGGCTGCCATTTTGAATCTTGAGAAGTTGGTCTCAAATGCAAGAGGATGGTCTAGACTAGGCAACTGCTTCTGTATGTGGCCAAAGTGGTCAGTGCCAATCTTTCCAAGGAGCGCTTTTCTATCCTGGGCTGTTGGGAAGGATAATGAAAACACAGTTCGTTATTACAATTGAATAATCTTTACTTGTGTCTGACTCAAAAGAACTTAACATGGCATGGCCCTTGGTATCTGCTGGAGTCTGGTTCAGTGGTATAGTAAAATGGTCTCCCTTATATAAAAATAGCAAAATGAGGGGTTGCTTTTTGGAATTTATATTTTTTGTAAAATTTTCAAGCCATGGATGAGGAATACATGAATACATAATGCCAAATGTATAAATGCAGATTTCCATTTTCAGGGTCCACATCTACATCCAGAAGATTAGCCAGTTTTCTAGATTTCTGGTCATGTATGTGTTAATCTGTCACAATCACCATTTTAAAGGAATGGTTGCTGGCAATGTAAACTGTACAAAACATGAATTAAAAATCAGGGCCTAATTGGGCTGTGTAAAAACTTCCTTGAAAGGGGAACAAACTGCTTAAATATCAGTCAGACTAGTGCTCTGTTAACTTAGCACCCAGTTTTAAACAGAGATGGTTGCATCATGTCTGCCTTCTTCAGCCCCTTCCCCATCTCCTACCTGTATATTAAATTATTAAGAATGTACCTACCTTTACCTATGTGTACATAAATAAATAATATATATATATATTTGTTCTTGATTGGAATACATCACTGTTTATGGTACTAGAGGTCTTAAATCATTGTGCCTTGGTTGTAAATAAGCTTGAGGGGTTATTTTATGAATAAAAAAATGAAACTGATTTATAACTTGTGACTTCAGGGTTTTTTAAAAAATATATTTTGTTACTGTCTTGAATTAAATTCTTAGAACATTTACTTTATCACCACAGGAGGATAAAATTTGATAAACAGCCAATGCACAAAGAGTACCAAAACTGGAGTTTATTAACAAGAAATATGTAAAATTTACCCCCATATCAATAGTAAATTCCAAAGCACCATACCTGAAAAGGATGGAAATGCAGGTAATGTTGCTGATTAAAAAAATTAAGGGAATGGTCATAACCTCAAAACTTATTTAATTTTAAAAAAAGGACTTACAGTCCCTCGGCCCTTAAAGGGGAAAGGTTGCCTACCCCTGTTTTATTGACAAGATTTCGCCTCAGAGGAGGTTTGCCATTGCCTTCCCCTGAGGCTGAGAGAGTGTGACTCGCCCAAGGTCACCCACTGGGTTTCTATGGCCGAGCTGGGACTCGAACCCTGGCCTCCAGAGTCGTAGTCCAACGCTCAAACCACTACGCCACGACACTACAGTTGTTACTGTCCTCGGTAAAGAGCGGGCAGAGAGGAGTTAATGGCGCCGCCAGAGCCTCTTTCCCCTCCCCTTTTGCCATGCGGAGATACTTCCTTCCCATTGGCTGGAAGCGCCTTGTTTTTCTTCCGCGATTGGCTCGCTGGGTCCAAAGTGGGCGGGCTTTGCCTCTGATTGGTCGCCGCCACTGGCGGCCTTCGCGCTCCGCGGCTGCCACAGCGCTGTCGCTCTCACTCGGAGGGTCCTGAGGCGAAGGACGGAGGCTCCCGCTGGCCTGGGCCCGATGAAGGGGCGCTGAGGGCGGCCAGGGAGGCCACTACTAGCCCCGGGGAGCGGCCCGCTTGGGCCTGGAAGGCGGTGAGATGCGTCTCCTGCGTTGCCTGATGAAGGGCCAGTCGGCGCTGGCCGGGGCTCCCAAATATATCGAGCATTTCAGCAAGTTCTCGCCTTCGCCGCTTTCCATGAAGCAGTTCCTTGACTTCGGTGCGTGGAAGGAAAGGAGGAAGGGCTCCTCCTCCTCTTCCTTTTAAGCCTATAACGAACTAACAAGGTTGCATCCGCACTGGAGACGTAATCCGTTTTGATACCGCTTTAACTGCCATGGCTCCATGCGGTGGAATTCTGGGAAGGGTCGTTTGTTGTGGCACGAGAGCGGAGCTCTCGTGCCACAACAAACGACCCTTCCCAGAATTCCACCGCATGGAGCCATGGCAGTTAAAGCGGTGTCGAACCGGATTATGTCTCCAGTGCGGATCCAAACCCCTATCGCTTTGCACAGCCATCGTATTATATTTCCTCCTCCTCCTGTTGTTGTTGTGTGCCTTCAAGTTGTTTTTGACTTATGTCGACCCTGTCATGGGGTTTTCTTGGCAAGATTTCTTCAGAGAGGGGGTGGGTTTGCCCTTGCCATCCTCTGAGGCTGAGAGAGTGTGGCTTGCCCAAGGTCATCCAGTGGGTTTCCATGCCTGAACGAGGATTAGAGCTGTGATCTCCACAGACTGAACAGACTGCCAGAAATAATCCAGTTTGAGACCCCTTTAACTGTCCTGGCTGAATAATAGGCAGTCATGGGAATTGTAGTTTTTTTTTTTTTCCTGAGAGATTGAGCTTTCTCTGTCAGAGAGCTCTGGTGCCACAATAAACTACAGATCCCATGATTCCCTAGCACTGAGCCAGGGCAGTTAAAGGGGTCTCAAGCTGGATTATTTCTGGCAGTCTGTTCCAGCCCATAGTCCCAACAGTCAAATCAATACAGCAGGATGGCTTTTTCTGTTATGTTGTTGTTGTTTTGTTGTTGTTGTGTGCCTTCAAGTCCTTTCTAATTCATGGCGACCCTAAGGCGAACCAATCATGTGGTTTTCTTGGCAAGATTTGCCATGGCCATCTTCTGAGGCTGAGAGAGTGTGACTTGCCCAAGGTCACCCAGTGGGTTTCCATGCCTGAGCGAGGATTTGAACCCTGGTCTCTAGAGTCATAGTCCAACTCTCAAATCACTAGACCACACTGGCTTTCTCTATTGTTGTTGTTGTTGTGTGCCTGCAGGTCCTTTCTGACATGGCGACCCTAAGGCAAACCTATCATGGGGTTTTCATGGCAAGGTTTCTTCAGAGAGGGAGCTTTGCCCTTGCCATCCTCTGAGGCTGAGAGAGTGTGGCTTACCCAAGGTCACCCCTTGGGTTTCCATGGCCGAATGGCGATTTGAACTCTGGTCTCCACAGAGCTGTAGTGCAGCACTCAAATCGCTACACCAGGCTGGCTCTCCCTATACCTTCCACTTTATGTGAACTTTATATTGTTTTGACTAGATGATTTAAATTGTTTTTACATTTTTACTGTGAAGTTTTTGAAATGTTTTTATCTCATAAGCTGCCTTGGGTACCTTCCTGGGAGAAAGGCAGCATGGAAATGAAGTAAATAAATGAATAAATAAAAAAAATAAATACTTGAGTTCAGTGAGACTTCTTTCCAGGAAAGTGCGAACAGTGGATGCAACTTTGTGGTATTTTCGGAGTCACCTCTGTGTAGAAAGGCAGGTTGTAAATAGACATACGTAAATGTTAATTAACAAAAGGAGGCATCCCTTACTCTCCATAATTAGATTAAATGTCCACTGCTCCATCCCTCAGAACCAACGTGTTGTAATGGTTTGAGCGTTGGACTGAAACTCTGGAGACCAGGATTCAAATCCCAGCTCGACCATGGCAACCCACTGGGTGACCTTGGGCAAGTCATGCTCTCTCAGCTTCAGAGGATTGCAATGGCAAGCCCCCTCTAAAGAAGCTTGCCAAGAAAAGTCCTGTGATAGGTTTGCCTTAGGGCCGCCGTGAGTTGGAAACAACTTGAAGACACAACAACAACAAGCTCTTGTCTCTCAACACCCTTTTAAAAAACAGCAGTAACAGTAATTCATCAAGATTAGTCTTTTAAGAAAAAAGACTCCTGTGTTTCCATTATATGATGTGATCCTGTGTTTGTCAACTCTGAGGTAAGTCCTAGCAATCTGTAAAAGAAATGGATTACCAGATAGATGGGCATATATAAGATTCCAGCTCAACACATTTGTTGCATTCACTTCTATGGGGTCGATCCACTTCTGTGAGTTGGATCCATAGCTGTGAAATGCAAATGGCTATAACATTATTCTACAAAGCTTATAGGTATAGTGGGCCCTTGGTATCTGCTGGGATTTGGTTCTAGGACCCTTCCTGGATACCAAAATCCATGGATGTTCAGGTAGTGAAATGGTGTTCCCTATATAAAATAGTGAACTCAGGGTTCCCTTTTTGGAATTTATGTATTTTAAAAAATATTTTCAAGCTGTGGATGGTTGAATCCATGGATTAAAAAATCCATGGATGTGGAGGATCTACTGTATACAAGATTCAATGTAAACTACAGTTGCCCCTCCGTTTTTGCAGACTTTGAGTCCGCATCCCTTTCCCATTCACCGGGGGGGGGGGGGGGGAACGGAGGGGATTAAAATAAGGCGCATGCCTGTGATGCAAACCTGCGAGCATGCACTGCCATTCAAGCCAATAGAGCTTGAATATTGGCATTTTCCCGTTTTCGCAGGGGAGGTCAGGAACGGATCCCCCATGAAAATGGAGGGGCAACTGTAAATGCGTGTAGATAATTACTATGACCATAATTTGGTATCTTTAGAAATTTGTTTCCAGATGGATATGTTGATTACATTGTATCCAGCTTATTCACTGCAACTAGATGCCTTGAGCTATGACCTGAGATCTTCTCTCTGGGTAAACATACCAAGTGGCATTTTAATCTGACTCCCCAAACATTTCCTATTTATCTGTGGAGGAATGTTCCATAGCCCTGTCTAGTTTCTTTCCTTTATCCCATTCATCTCTGAAGAAAATGGCAGGGAGAGTAACATTTGATGGCTGACCACATGCTTTGCATGCAAAAAGCCCTGTGATCTGTCACAGGCAGCTCTGGTAGCAGGTCATGGGAAATCTCTGTGCCTATATGATACATTCTGAATGTTTTGGAAAAGTCTGGTGCTCCTTCTTGCTAACTTGCTGCAATCCTTCCCTCTTTGGTGAAACTCGGGTCTCTAAATATTTTCACATGGAAGTCTAAAGAATTGCTTGTAGATGAGAGAAAGGGGAAAAAATTTCTACTACAAAGAGGACTTTGGGCCAGTCTTTCCGAACCTGACCCACCTCACATAGTGACTAAGGGGCCATTCTCATTTGTTTTTGGAACGAAGAGATTTTCATCTCTGCGCCGATTTAGAATTGGCTCAGTGTTCCTACTACGATTACTGTGATCAAATCTCTGTGTGCCATTTTAACCCTGTTGCTGTTCACATTTGCCATCATATCGATTTAAAGTGGAGGTGCCTCCATCTCCAGGAATGATGCAGTGTGATCTGAATTGATTCGGTAGAGAATCCATACTACTGAAGTTGTGAATCATTGCGGCTCTTTAAAAAAACCTGCTAAGGGACCTGGTGCCAAATGCACCAGTTTAAGTGGGCTTTTTACTCTTCCTCCCCCCCCCCCCCCCCCCCCGCACCTATTGCAGTTGGGGTGAGTGCAAACTTCACGGAAGTAAACCAGTTCCATACTAGCTTATTTCCATAGTGTGAATGATCTCTCTAAGGATAAAATGGTGCATGTGTGCAATTGCACTAAGTACTCACCTGCAGTAATTACTTGCCAACTCCTACAGCAATGTCTCTGGTGAATATATTTATTTTATGCCCTTGCATATTACCCTTAATCCTGATCCTAGTTACATACAACATTTCACAAGTTCCAGATAAGTACACTCCTCTTAAAAAGAAGCGTGTTGTGGCTCCCCCTTGCCACTTTTTGTACATAGATACTCGCTTGGATATATAATCCTTGTATCATCTTTGTTGTGTACCTTCAAGTCGTTTCTGACTTATGATGATCCTATAACAAATCTATTGTGGGGTTTTCCTGACAAGATTTGTTCAGAGCTGGTTTGGCTTTGCCTTCCTCTGAGGCTGAGAGATTGTGACTTGTCCAAGGTCACCCAGTGTGTTTCTGTGGCTGAGTGGGGATTTGAACCCTGGTCTTTACAGTCATAGTCCAGTACTCAAACCACTATACCATACCATGTACCACCCTGCATGCTTCTAATCCAAGAGTGGAGACCCATGGCTCTACAAATGTTGTTGAACTACAACTCTCAGAAGCCTCATCCATGGGATCTGTAGTTTAGTGACATTTACGATGCCACAAGTCTCCTGAGCTCTGAGTAAATAGCCCATGATCAGGGATTACTCGGGCTTTTTTATTTTATGAGTGAACCCATTAATGAAATGCTGATTTCATTGGCCAAATGACAGTCTGTTCCTCAAACCCAGTCATTTGGTTTAACCCTAGTTGCGGAATCAGAAATCCAATATCATTTTACTAAAGATGCTGTCACCAGAGTGACCTGTCCGTGATTCTGAAGAGTCCTGTGAGTCACGTGTAAGTAATTGTTTGTGAACCAGCTTTTCCCAACCTTGTGACCTGTTGGAAGTTTTGGACTTCAGCTCCCAGCCAGCAGGGCCAATGGTCAAGAGTCCTGGGAATTGTTCCAAAATCTGGAAGGCACGGGTCTGTAAATAAACCTCCCCCAGTATCCAAGGTCAGGGATGAGAGGGACATAAGACTTCCAATGGGACTAATATATCTGTGTTGGGGGAACAACTTCATGCAGCTTTATCATTCACATCAGTTGACTTCCTTGGCATGAATCTTTTTATTTAAAGCTGTTTCTGTTGTCATAAATAACTCATCAAGTCTGAAGCAAAGACATACAGCAGGGGTAGGTAACCTTTCCCCTTTAAGGGCCGAGGAACTTCAGCTCCCAGAATCCCAGGAGCTATTAGCCAACATGGGACTATTAGCCAACATGGCTGAGGCTTCTGGGAGCTGAAGTCCCTCGGCCCTTAAAGGGGAAAGGTTGCCTACCCCTGACATACAGTGTCCCTCTATCACATGAGTAAGGAATCAATGGCTGTATAGATTCTGTTGGATTGTGTTTCCCATCATTCCTATCCAGGATGAGTAGTGGTCAGTGATAGTGGAAGGCTGAGTCCAGCAACATTTGGAAGGTCACAGCTTTGCTCTGCTTTGTCCACAAGACAGAACCAGACACTGGCTCTAAACCAGGGGTAGGCAACCTTTCTCCTTTAAGAGCCGAGGGACTTCAGCTCCCAGAAGTCTCAGCCATGTTGGCCAATAGTCCCATGTTGGCCAATAGCTCCTGGGATTCTGGGAGCTGAAGTCCCCCAGCCCTTAAAGGGGAAAGGTTGCCTATCCCTGCTCTAGACTCATCAGATAAGACTGGCCATGTCCTTCCCCCCCTAAATCTCTTTCTGCTAGATTTTTCTGTCTGAGTTAATACTTCCCTCTTTTTGTAGATTTTGGGTGGCAGAAATTAGGGAGTCAAAAGAGAAGGAGCAGGGAAGAAAACAAGTTTTAAATCTCTGATGGCAGAACTGCTGTTTAGAGCAGCTAAGGCATTACGTTGTTTTTGCCGGAGTTGTGCAGTGGGGTTGGGAGGAGGGATTTCATGATGCCCTTTGAAGGTTATGAAGGAAAACTGGTTCTGATTGGGAGATCTTCCTCAGCATCAGAGGGCATTAAAGAACCTCCTGCAGCTCCCCCCCCCTACTGTTTTTCCTGCAGTACTTTCTAGACTGTGATAATCGGGTCTGCTTTGAAAACAGTAGTGCTAAATAAAAATCTCTGGGATTTTATGCCTGGTATGCATTGCAAGTTTTTAAAAAAACACACATTATTATGGGAAAGTACTTACAAAAGGAAGTATTTCCCCTCTGTCCCTTTCCACCAGTTACATACGTTGCTGTGGTTGCCTTAATACTTTGGCCTGTCCTACTTTGCTGGAGAGTTTAAATGGAACAATGGAAGGGTAACCACAGAAGCTGTCTTTCATTTTGACTTTGCATTCTCCTGGTCTGCTTTCTTTTGTCTGCTCCAGCCAGTCTGCATCTGTCCATGCT